TGATGCACTTACAAGATTCATGGGCACTATAAGTAGTTCGGTTTTTATACTGTGGGAATATGTTGTGTTAAAGTCTCTTCTTTTACGAAGGGTATTTCAAGGACCTTGAGCTGGCGTTGTTTTGCTGACAAAGACTGCCATGTTCTTATTTGCTTCACCAGTCGGATCGGCCGGCTTCGCCGGCCGATCCTCCTTCCGGGTGTGAAGTGGGTCCCTGTGAGAAGTTTTCCATGAGGGGAGTCCAGTCGGATCGGCTTCGCTGGGCGAATGATCGAAAAAAAATAGTTTTGAGAATTACAGCACTTTACTGTTTCACTTCTCGTATATACCCCCCCTAGAAGGCAGTCATCAAAATTTTCTATGCTGTACACCGCTTAGGTTACCTTGCTTAGGCTGCCTGAAAATCGGCTAATCCTATCGTCGCAATCCCAGTTGGAATCCGTCCAGGAAAATCAGTTTTCTGTAGTCTTCGGTTTTTGGTTTATATATAAGAAGATAGGGAGCTTCCTTCCGGGTGTGAAGTGGGTCCCTGTGAGAAGTTTTCCATGAGGGGAGAGCCAAATTGGCTAATCCTATCGTCGCAATCCCAGTTGGAATCCGTCCAGGATAATCAGTTTTCTGTAATCTTCGGTTTTTGGGTGGTCAGACAGACGCACACACACAGACAACTTCTGGTTTATATATAAGAAGATAGGGAGCTTCCTTCCGGGTGTGAAGTGGGTCCCTGTGAGAAGTTTTCCATGAGGGGAGAGCCAGTCGGATCGGCTTCGCCGGGCGAATGGTCGAAAAAAATAGTTTTGAGAATTACAGCACTTTACCGTTTCACTTCTCGTATATACCCCCCCTAGAAGACAGTCATCAAAATTTTCTATATATAAGATTTTCTATATGCTGCACACCGCTTAGGTTACCTTGCTTAGGCTCCCTGAAAATTGGCTAATCCTATCGTCGCAATCCCAGTTGGAATCCGTCCAGGATAATCAGTTTTCTGTAATCTTCGGTTTTGGGTGGTCAGACAGACGCACACACACAGACAACTTCTCTCGTATTATATATAGGAGATAGGGTATCCTTCCGTGTGTGAAGTGTGGTCCCTGTAAGAAGTTTTCCATGAGGGGAGAGCCAGTCGGATCGGCTTCGCCGGGCGAATGGTCGAAAAAAAAATAGTTTGAGAATTACAGCACTTTACCGTTTCACTTCTCGTATAGACCCCCCCCCCTAGAAGACAGTCATCAAAATTTTCTATGCTGCACACCGCTTAGGTTACCTTGCTTAGGCTCCCTGAAAATTGCTAATCCTATGTCGCGCCTACACGACGCTCTTCCGATCTATCGTCGCAATCCCAGTTGGAATCCGTCCAGGATAATCAGTTTTCTGTAGTCTTCGGTTTTTGGGTGGTCAGGTCAGACAGACGCACACACACACACAGACAACTTCTGGTTTATATATAAGAAGATAATCAGTTTCGCTCGATCGAAGGCGGCGAGGAACACTGTATGACGAACCACCATCTCGACCGGTCAACACACGAAGGAGAGCCAGCACGGGATCATCTCTGATATCGTTGTGGTAGGTGAGAAGTTCGATCTAGCATAGGACTAGTTGGGCGGGGTGTTGACATAGCAGAGTTAAATTGGGCTTGAGGAATAGACCGTTTCAATTCATAAGTCGAGTGAACCCTCTGTATAAAGTTATCTTAAGCGTTTCATTTCCAAAAATCGAAACGTGGCATAAATCGAAGACCGCTTTTGTCCGCGGAGCCACAGAAAAAATGTATTAACTTTTTCGGAAAAAGTATCATGGGGAGCTTTACAAAGCCGATCCAATAAAACATATTTTGAATGTTGTAGTGAGCTCCGTAAGATATACTGGAAAGACATATTTGGATTAGAAACTGACGATAAACTCGAGGCATTGGTAAATGATGCTCACCTAGCAAACTCAGCGCTCCACTAACAAAGCATGACCTAATCAAGCCGCGCGCGAAACTGTGGAGTTCAAATGTTCAGTTACATTTCAAGTAAATCTTCAAAGAATTTCATTTGATATTATGGATTAAGTATGAAGAATGTCAACGAGTATGTGTTTGTGACAAACTTAAACTTAATTAGTGATTGTCAAGCTCTTTGTTCCCGTTTCCCGTTTGCTATTCGGGTCCATTTTCGACATTGAGTGCTCGCATAGATATTTTGTAAATTTCTCTTTTAAAAGTTTTAATTGTGACGTTCCTCGTTCATGTATACTGAGTGAGGTGGAACCCTTGTCACCTTGTAATAAATCCTGTATTCATGCTCATAGCCAGTAGATCTTATCTGCCCCATACATCACTGAGTTATATTATGCAACATTCTTTGAAAATTGGATTTTCATCTGAATTTTGAAGTTTTTTTTCTTTTTGTTGCAGCTCATTGCAACTGAACTTACAATTGTAATTTGCAAATAACCTTTACCTTTGTAAATAAGGAAGTATCTCACAATTTTTTTCTCAATAACGCCAGTACTGGTAGACGTGCTGTTAAAGGCACGCCCCGCTTACGAAAATTTCGATTTCTGCGGCTCAGACACTAATGACAAAACGGAACGTAATACAAAAGTAAGAAAATACTAAAACACGCCCGAAATACCCCATGTAAAGCCCAATACACCGGACTGCTCTCATACAAGCAGTAGGCGGAGAAGTGTGGTGGTCGGACGAGTTCTCCTTTGTTGCTGCCAGCTCTTTTGCCTTATCACCTTTGTCACCGTTCGAAATGCCAAGGAGTAGCACCGGAACAACCACAAAATTTGGCTGCAGGTGAAAATCAACGTTGGGGGTCGCTTTAGCCAGTGGGCGGAGCAGTGATTTCTTCGCGAATGGTCGGCGCTTCCTCACGTATTTTTGAGCTGCGAAAGTAGTACATCCTCAATGCTAGCAGGGAGGAGTATCTGTTCAAAGAAGGCAGCCGAACATAAAATGAGCGCGGGGCGTGCCTTTAAGCTATTTGTTATTTCTTGCCTATTCTATCTGCCTTGCCCACTTAGCCTTTGGCTTTGTCAGCCACTCACGGAGTGCACATATTTGAACTGAAGGCATTTTTTGGATTCGGGCTGGCTGCCCCTATATGCGTGAATTTAGGGGAAATAATGGCGTCAATTGCCGATATAGTTGACTTTCTTCGCACAGAATTTTCTTCATTGGAAGAAATCACCGATGAGTATGCGTCGTCGAGGTACGATTTACTGAATGGGATACTCTCAAATGTGATCTGCAGTCTAGTTCGGTACGGACGAAGGGGTGTCAGCCGGGATGAATTTGGCGCGGTGGCAGACCTGTTCTCACGATGTTGAAGCGAGCAAGTGAAAAGACTGTACTACGTCGTTCGTATCGCTCGTTTTCTACGAGCTGTTGTCGCATACCCGCTTCAGCAACTGGTGGAGAATGGGTTTGGCACCGCGCCAAGCTCATGCCGCCTGACACGCCCCTTCATCCGCTGAACTTGACTGTAATTTCCGAATAATATGTCCAAATGGATATTCCAGTGTCGAAGGGAATTACACAGACTTCCCTGCTATCTCGTCCCTCTTAACTCCATCGTTCTATGAAGATGGTAGTGCTACGTCACGCCTTAGACAACGTATGTTGCGCCATTACTCCTAGTCCTATTCGTGCTGTATCCCTCCTTTCAACATTATTTGTACTATTTTTATCTAGTGCTCACGAAGTTGGCAAAATTCGAAGAAGAATGCGATGATCCAGAATTATGGGTTGAACTAACGAATGCCGATATATCCGGCCGACAACTTTGTGTACTACTTTGGTATTCTTTGGAATGGGCTCTCGCTAAAAATAGGTACGATTCCACTCCTAGTGGCTTCGGAAAAGCCACCAAAAATTTGTTTACATTTATATGATATTTACTCTTTAGTACATTCGAACTGGTAGAGCGAGGAGCTCTCGCTGCTTGTGCTTATCTTCACCTTGCCAGTATAAAGGGCTCAAAAGCTTATCGTATCTTCAATCCCTATCTTTATCAGGTACCTTTTATTCATTTTATTCATTCTTTTTCTTTGCATGTGGCTTCCCTTTTCTTCTCCCTCTGCACATTATATTGTATAGCATTCCGTTTAATTAATCAACAGCTTCTTGGATGGACTTGTTTTTAGGCAGCACATCTTGCCTACAAAGCAGTGGGCACGGTCGCTGGGGGCGGACAGTTGTCGCCGTCGTCATTGGTGTAAGGACTGCGAGAAGGCGTCTGGCATTTCCAGCAATGACGTTGGCGACAACTGCGCGCCCCAGCAGTCATACACACAGCCTTCAGTTCGCCGCTTTTGTGATGACACCCAAACCAACAAGTGCTGCTGAACAGCTTTTAACGGACTTGAACAATTAAAGAGTAGTCTAAAAAACTGGTTACTATTCTAGAAATGTCTGCAAGTGTTCCGTTCCTTATACCGATGCCTATCGTTTGACTGTCGTGAAGCTGGTTCACAAGCCAAAGGAAAGGGAAAGTCAAAAAAGAAACAGCAAGAAGAGATGGACGTTGCAGAAGCTGAAGGGGAAGGTACTAAAAGTTGTTAAAATCCTTGTTCCTCCTTCTTATTAAACAGTTTCAGAAGAAGTTGATATTGCCACGACATTCGATAAAGAAGAGGTGAAGCATCTTTTTGAGGATGCCAGCGAGTCGCTGTTCGTGCTGCTAGGCAAAGGTAGGTTACTGTGACTGCTGCTTTCACATGTTGTCAAATGATACCAGTTTCTACAGTTCCGCTAGCGAGTTATTTTGAAATCCCCTTGATGACGACAATGCTAGTACGGGATATGGCAAGAATAGACTGCGGTACAGATACTAAAGTCGATATTGTGGAAAATTCCAAAGAATTCAAGAAGTTACGCAAGTTGAGCTCTCGCTCTTTCGCTCTGATGCACCGACTTATCGAAAGTCGCCATACCTACGGTGGCTACCTGGTTCGTTCTGTGGCTCTTCTGGCGAGTGGGAACTATTGCTGGAGGCGGAAAGTTACTATCAGCGTCATTGGTGAAAGGGCTATGAGAGGGCGTTTGGTCACGCCCCAATCAGCCTTTCCACCAATAACGTTTGCCAAGAGCGCCTGCCCCCAGCCATCGTGCCCTTTGCTGTTGGGGCTATTGGGGTGGCTTCAGTATTGCTTGTCATTTTCCAGGTCATTTCCCGTATATGTTATCCGCGCTTGGCATACTGGACCTTTGAGTATGATGTGATTCCATCATCACAAGTTATACCAACGATGTTCACCACCTGGAGAGATCTCATGGTGAAATTCATCAAAATCCGCATTGAGCTCGGCAATGCTCTAGAGCTACGCCATATTTTCGCGGTCAGTGCATGTTTTTGCTGAACTTTTCCGACAGAGTATTGATTAAAAAAACAAATCACCTCAGAACTGCTTACTTTTTTGGGGTATGTGACAAGACAACCGTAATTCGCTGCGCTGGTGGGCGTCGCATAAGACCTTGCGCCCACAATTGATGATGTTTCCAGGTCGGGACAATAGGCATGTAAAAAAAGCAATAATTATCTGTGATGTTGTCGTCTATTTCAAATCCGGTGCTCCGGTAAGATAGGTCAACGCTAATTTCAAAAACGCGTCAAAAAAACAGCGGCAAGCTACGATTGTCTTGACCGCCTCACCTTTTTTGTATGTTGGGGTTCTTTGTATTATTTCTTCATTTCATTCGGAGATAATCAACTGGAAAGAAATGTTTTGTACTGACTAACTATTGAAGTACTGCAAAGGAATATGGCGCATTGCATCCAGTCTAGCCAGCAAATAGTTTGCTAGCTTGAGCGCGGGCTCGTATGTCCTGACCTATACTTCTTATTCCTGAGACGGTGTAGGCGTGGCATCCGAACAAGGCACAGAACTGGTTACCCGTGGGATCTTTCAATTTGAGACAACCGCCACCTTGTTCTTTGTTGGACAGAGACGTGACCACATCTGGGTCAAAATGAAAATAGCTCTCCAAAAGCATAGCCACCACGACGTTTAGTTGAAGTACGCAGCCACGCCCACCTCATCTCTGGGATTTCGAGTGTACCTAATTCGTCGCTGATTATCCTCAAACCCTGTGAGCATGTGCCCCTATCAACGCAGCCGCTGTCGTTTGTGTGTCATCCTCTCATACCCGTTGTAGACTGTTGCTACCTCGTTGAATCCGACCGGCGTAAAAATATAACCCTAAACTTTTAACCACGGCGCTATCCTTGCCTGAGCAACTTGTAATCCATAACTTGTAAACTATTCACAAAACGAACAATATTAATTAAACATTACAATTATTTTCTCTGGGTTTGATAGGAAATCGGTAACTGTACGGAGCCTTCTGCTTCACAAAATCTGTAGGCTAAAAATTAGGTTGCGTCAGGTTCACTGACAGGCAAAAAGCAATCACGGGTCAAACGTTTCCTTCAAGTTGGTGAAGTCCTCGTTTCAGGAACAGCATTGTACTCTTTCAGTGCATAGAATTACTTGGGAGTAATTTTTTTAGCGAGTGTCTGAGAACCTTCAGGGAAGCCGGTCTCGATGGAGCGCGCTGGCAATCGCCGGCCTTTTGCCCGTAGTGCGTCCCATCTTTGTCTCAAGGATAATTACTTCAGGATGTAAAGTTGAATAGGTATAACCTCAAAGGTTTTGTTAAAATGGGAAATAGATTAAAAAGAAGGAAAATTGTACTTCTAAGCTGTTCTAATTCTTATTAAATGCAACAACACGCCAAACAACAACGCACATACCTCGCCGCTGGGCTCCCGGTTGATTATATCGTCGTGTGGTTTTGGCCTTGCTAGCTTACATCGTGCAGTACTTCCTTGTGATCATATCTTCCGTTCTTTATTCACGTTTTCTCTTTATCATTGAAGTTTTTATTTGTCGTGCCGAATTAGAAACGTTCGCATCTACAGGCTACGTTTCCAAACACTTTATTGGTTTTTCTGTAATCTAAGCTAATTCCGTTGACATTTGGTAAAATCTCATTTACTTTTCTTTTTTACATTTTCATCTCAGCCTATTCTACTCAGTCAGATATTTGTCGCTACTTCAAATTCTTTTGAAGACGGCCGTTACAAAACTTTTCAGTTTGACAAAACTGAACTTTTTGCTCGGATTTTGTCTCAGTTGATGCACCACGGTCATAAATAGCTACGGTTGTTTCTGATAAAGTAGAAAAAAAACTATGAGAGGAAAACCTTGAGCGTTTTACCGGTTCCTGGTTAGCGCACTTAGAACCCTGTACTTAGTGGTGGTGAATCTGTCTTTTCAGGTGTTGGAAAATTTGTATCAGCGTTGCACAGACAGATTAGAATATCGTACTCGACTTGCACAGTCCGTGTTCAATGTACTACAGCTACTACCACGAGAATATCATTATGTAAGTTGGATTTTGTGAAATTATACTTACAAGTATGTTGAAAATAGTTGATTTTTCCAGGAGTTTGTGCAACGGATTGATGTGTTCTCAAAGAATCAACGTGTTGCTGCTAGGAACTATGGGATAGAAATCGTGCCACTGATTCTCAAAGGACTAGGTAGTCTGTCGTTCACTTCCGTTTAATTTCGAGTTTTTATTCCAGTTTGTCTTTCATAACGACTGGCTGAATTGAGCAAGAAGTCTTGCAACACAAACAGCAGATTTCTAGTAATAATTTTTTGAATTTATTTGGAAAAAATATTGCGTAGGTTATAGGCGTTTAAAAGGAACCAGGTCCTATTAGTATTGCGTTGGATGTAAAAGATACAGTCGGGTATCTAGATTTTGTGAAAAGTCATCATTGTCACGTTGGGAAGAGCATCTTTGTGGAGAAAAGTGTATTTGTTTCGGCCTTAGAGATTTCGTTGTCCTGGTAGCCCTAGTGGGCTAACTTTTGTGGCTTGTCGACAACATAGTGCCTGTTTCATGAAGCATATCGCGGAGTTCATGGTACAGTTGCAGCAGAATGGTGGCGTTCATACTTTGCCGTGATTCCGGGGAAGCGCAATGCGCGACCACTGAAAGTATAGGTATCGATCGTTCTGAGAGAATGGGAAAGTGGTGGAATTGACATATTTGGAGAACAAACACCCAAAGTCTTGGATTGGCTTAGATATCCGAATGTTCGCCAGCTTGCCGATTCTCCGACTTTTCAAATCTTCAATTCCATCTCCCTAGTTCTGTTCCCTGTCTTTCCCTGTTCTTCTAGAACGTGCCAGCTGGTGTCGATCGATAGTGATCCGTTGTTTGGCGCACACTCTCCCATTCCAGATCGATACCTATGCAATCCTTGTCGCGCATTCTCCTATTCTTTCGTCGCACAGTATATTTCTGCCTAGCACAGTAAAACCTTCCTACACGTAAGCCGCATCCGCCTCCTTCTTCAGCGGTTGTCCCTGTGGTAGCCAGTGACTTGTGAATGAAATATATGTCCCAGTTTTTCTTCTATTTTCAGTTTTTCTGTTAGTTTACTAGTAAGCAAACTTTTGTGCGGATATGTATGAGTGATTTGTCTATGGTGGGGTTACGTTCATACGCTATGGATTTGAAAAGTTGCGGACTCCGCTAGCTTAGAAAAAAAATGTCAAGTCGATTCGGGGGACCTAGCGGCTCGCCGATCGGGAGGAATGTGAAATCTGTTGAATCGACAATAGCAGTGAAAATAGGTTTAGTAGGATTTTCACTCAGTATTGATTACCCAGCTCATTTTCTGTGCTTATTGCGAGAGCAGTGTTTCAATCAATACGTATACATATGTTTCCTCCCAATTCCGCGATTTTTCTGCTCTTTGTCGAGGTTATGTGACAAGGGAATCGTAATTCGCCGCACTGGTGGGCGCCGCGTGCGACGTCGCGCCAGCAAATGACGATCATTTCAGATAGTATATATCGACAACAACAATTGAGAACCGAAAATAGTCATGAATATCTACGATGACGGGGTCTACATGAAGTCCGGTGCTCTAATCGACAGGTTAACACGAGTTAAGAAACCGCGGTCATTGCCGCGGCGGAGCGGCAAATTAGGTTTCTCTTGCCCGTCTCCCCTTTGTTGATGGGCGCAGACTCGCATGACTAGCCCATATCTGACCTATGGAGTTTGTGTGAAGCCATGGAGTTTGTGGTTGGAAAAGCCAGAGTGTTGCAAAATTTTTTTGCTGAATCCAGTAAAATTACGATTCTACTAAGTTGACATACAGTACTCTGAGTGCCGTTCGTTAGTTCTATGAATTTAACATAATTCTCTAGATCTATCTGGACCTGATCCGGGGCCTATCGTGTACCCTTCTGACAACGATGTCACGCAACAAGAGGTAAAGTTGTATTCGTTGAATTCACTGTTTCCATTGTTCTATACTAGAGTTCGCTGTGTATGAAGGGGCGTGTCCGGTACTATGACTGTGCCGGGTGCCAAGCCCGTTCCTCCAATTGTTGTTGGAGCGGGTACGGCATCACTTGGTAGAAAATGAGTGATACAAACGGCATAATACAGCCTTGTTATTGCTCGCTTTTATAACACGATCGCGAACGGGTTAGGCCCCGTGCCAAACTCATACTGACACGCCCCTTCGTCCGCAGCGAACTAGACTATGGTTTTTTGTACAGGCAGGTAATGATGCGGCATCTTCTTCTGGAACGGATGCGATGGATGTCGATAAAGGCAGCGCAAGCGATGACAACGAAGAAGACGAGTCTGACAGCAATAGTGGGAGCGAATCTGAGACAGCCCCGATCGAACCAAAGGAAAGGCCAAGGCTGATAAGGACCCTCCGTCAGTTGAGGAGTATGTGATGTCATGTTGCCTATCTTTACTGCACTATTTGGTGAAACTTGGGTTCCAGTGGCTTGAGTGACTTTCACTTCAGGGATGAGAAACCTGAGCGAGTACCAGTTCTGGACGCATTGTACAGATGTGTTATTCGAAGTTGTCTTGACAAGGCGTACAGTGTTCGTATGCGTGCTTTGTTTCATTTAGCATCGTTACTAGAAGATGACCGGCATCGGGAGCTGCTCTTCCATCATGCAAGGAAAATGGTAAGCTACAGTATATCCTGAGAGTAAAGCGCTCCTTAAGTTTTAAATTGCAGTTTGAAGAATGCCCAAAGGTCTTCATTGGTATAGTTACCGAGAAAGATGAAGAAGATGAAAACAACGAACCGGAAGAAATCAATGAGAATATGTTCCTGGACGATTCGGAGATAGTCATCGACAACATCATCCTGCACATTATTGTGACCGGAGCTGGAGATGATTCGGTAGCATTTAGAAAAATCTTGTCATATTTGATGGAAACCATTAGTTTTTTTTCAGGCCGGTGTTCGTAAATATGCTGTTATTGCGTTACAAGCCTATTTCCCTTTCATCACAGACGAGGTTGATGCACGAAGTGCAGTTGATTGTCTGAAGGTAGGAATATCCATGGTTTCTTTAACTATCACATATGCACTACATATCTCGGAGACGGAAGGGGCGTTGCAGCGTCCTCCATCCGAGCGTGGCGCAGAAAGCTTTTTCGTAGGATCCCTCGATTTGAGTCAGTTGTCATTCTGTCCAGTGCTGGAGGAATGTAATGGAATGATTATAGTTGTACGAAAACGAAATTGACCTACCAGGAGCGCAGCCGCGGTCTTTTTTGTATAGTACGCAGCCACGCCTTCCCTATCCCAGGTACATGGACTGTACATTTGATTTGTAGGAGTGTTGTTTGGATTCGTCGCTTATGGTTCGAAAGCAGGCTGCCGAAGCCCTTGATTATCTCCTTAGCTCCATTTCTCAATTTAGGTGGGTGTTTCTCATTAGTGCTGCTATTCAATCTGCCTCATTATCTCTTATTTTTGGTTTTTATCACATCATTTAAGTACGTTGACATTATTTACTCTTTACGACCCCTTTTTGTGCGGAATCTGTTCCTGGAAGGAACCTGGTCCTCTGAAGACGAGCATGGCATCCGTTTCTGTGCCGAACGGATGCGATGATCGATTCGAAGAGATCAAATCTCCGGTGTTTTTGTCCTATGCCGAGCGGATCCATTTTTACTTTGTTTTTTTTATGATAACTGCTGTTTACGTCGCAGTTCGCGTTCCGAAAGTTACCACAAGAATTGAGTTAGGGGCAAAAGTCGAACCCCAGGCGGGAGTCGAACCCGCACCTCACGCTTTTTAGGCGAGTGCACTATCCGTTACACCACCAGGGCCGCTTTTTACCCTCTTAGCTCAATGGCTTTTATGCTGTAGCCGTACAGCAGTCACACGTTTAACATGGTGTAATATTTCACTTCGAGATAAATTTCACGAATTCTAGCCAATGGTAAGTACGTGTGTGGGAGCCCTAATTTTGATAAGAATCCAGAGTTATCAGAGGGATAGGTGAAGTCTATAAGAGCTGATTCCGTCAAATGGGCGCGGAAACCACTACCTGTAATCATCCCCGTTTTTTATTTCTTACAATAGTGCCATCGATTCTGTATTTTTCCGCGGAAACCATACCTGTAATGATTCCTCTTTTTCATTTCTTACGATATTTCTGCATTTTTATCTTCGTTTTTTCTGTTAGATCTTGTGTTGCTATGCTGCATACCATCATACAGTGCGTAACAAAAGTATGTGGACACCTCAAATTTTTGTCTTGCAAAATTGCATTTGAATTTTGCGATATGAGACCTTTACTGTTGAATTCCTCATGAGCGAAAACATAGGAATACACTACTTTTAAACACTTTGTGGACTACTGAACAATTATTTATTGTTTTGAAAAAGTTTCTTAATAACAAAAGTATGTGGACACTTAACAAAAAACAAATGTATCGTGGAAAATAGAAGTCGATTCTTCCTCCAGTGTTCACTATTACTTCGAACATCCTGTCCGGCATGCTGTGGACAAGATTTATCATGGTGTCTTCGTCGATTTCCTCCCATGCAGCAACTATTGCCTCCTTCAAGTCTCGCACGCTGTTGTACTGCTCACTGTTCATGTAGATTCGTCGAACCATGATTCCCCACAGGATTTCGGTTGGGTTGCAGTCAGGAGAACACGCCGGCCAATCATCCACTTTGATACCATTGCGTTGGAGCCATTTTCTAGTAGAATTTGAAACATGCACGGCGGCGTTGTCCTGCTGCATCACATGTGCCCTGCGTCGTAACCCACTCAGAAAAGGTAAGAGGTTAGACTCAAGCACTACTTGCTATTCCTCACTGCTCATATAGCACTATGGGAAGGCAAGCTCTAACTTTCCTCTGCTTCCAATACCACCCCGTACCATCAAAGAGGCGCCTCCGAACTTTCGTCTCGAGAACACCAACGGACCGCTACAAAGGCCTTTCAAGTGATGCTGATATCCATCTAGACCGTCGAGACTGACTTTTTCTCATCAGTGAAGATAACCTAAGAAAGAAATGCGCATAAGATGTTGCCTTTCTGATTTTACAAATATCTCAAGAAACTGCACCTGGTCCCACGACGTCGCCATTTTTGCACGCGCAAAGTTCCCTCTCGCCAGCTGACGTCGGGCAGTCAGACAGGGAGCTTTGTTCGTGGTCTCTCGAGTGATGTGCTCACTTGATCGAATAGAGCGCCATATTGTCATTTTTGAGACCTTTAGATTCATCGCGGCATGGATCTGTGCCACAGAAAGAGGGGAGTTTGAGGCTATTCTTCTGATGTCTTTTGCGGACAAAGATTGTGGGTGCCTCGAAACAGGTACTGAGTGGTAGCCAACAGGATTCTGGAGGTATATACCAACGCACGTCGCCGAAAGTCCAAGTTATCTTGCAATTTCTCTATTCGAGTGTCCTGCAGCCCTGGAAGCTCGAATCCGAGCTTGTTCGTCTTCGTAGGGAGGACTACCACGACGAGGTATGAGTACAGGTTAATAGCTACTAGAAACCATAAAAATGGATTGCAGATCTGCAAGCAAACTATGGACTTCCTCAGGTGTCCACATACTTTTGTTATTAAGAAACTTTTTCAAAACAATAAATAATTGTGCAGTCGTTCACAAAGTGTTTAGAAGTAGTGTATTCCTATGTTTTCGCTCATGAGGAATTCAACAATAAAGGTCTCATATCGCAAAACGCAAAGGCAATTTTGCAGGACAAAAATTTGAGGTGTCCACATACTTTTGTTACGCACTGTATATCATCATATGCACGTCAGGTCATCACATTTGTCTTATCACAGCTTATAATATCATTACGTAACGTACCGTATCATATCATGCAATATGCGAGATTCTTATTCTCTAATCAACTTCACTTAAGAGATGTGCTCGAAGAAGGATGGCTGGCGGCAGTCCTCCCGATGATAAACGACAGGGAACAGAGTGTTCAGCACATGATATCGAAAATTGTTACGGTACGTTCCCTGTCTGATTTAGTACAGGATTAGTTGCGAGTAGGGCGCTGGTGTGGCAGGTTAGGCAGTCTCCGATGTCACCTTTTGTTGTTCTTCCAATCTTCATTCATCGTCCGTGTACTCGCGATTTTTTTCTTGGTCTTGCGTGATCATCTTTGGTCAGCACCGCTTTGCTTGTTCTTCCCTGGTTTTAAAGGTTGCGCGTGGATTTTCCTGCTTTTCTTTGTTTTTTCCGGTTGTACTTGGTCTTCCCTGGTCTTCCGGAGTCTTCCTAGACTCCTCGGACTCCCCAGCTGTTCTCATGTTGCCTTGTGTTCCAGGATGTCCCAGTCTCGGGTACTGTCTTTCATTCCTGCCCTTTCTCAGTCTCCCTGGTCTTGAAAAGCTTCGAAACCTGCCCGGTTTTCTTGTTCTTCGCATTTCGTCTTTTCCTTGCCGGCCTTTCATGCTGTTCTTGGACTTCCCTGCTATTCCTAGTCTTTCGAGCTCTTCTTTTTCTTCCCATCTCTTTCTCCCGGTTCTATCTTGGTCTTCATCTCTGTTCTTGATTTCCTCGGCCACGGATGGGGCTGTTTCCACCATGTGATAGCAGTGTTCAGATGACGTCATCGACGTTACAACGTCCCCTTAAAGGTCCGAGGCCGATGCCGATATGGCTTAGCCAGTAGACGACGTTAGTAGCGCACCCCTCCACTATACATTCTCTGTGGCGATGATCAGCGTGTAGAGAGGCATGCCAGTCGTTTTCTATCGGCGGTTGTTTTGGTGTCATGGGGCATCATTGCCAATGCTACAATGCAGGTTCCCTCATTATTCATGTAACGTCAGTCACACGTCATCACATAGCAAATAACCAAGCTATGCTACATCTTTGCCTTAAGTACGTATTCGGACCTTATCGGCAACTGGGAATAGACTTTTCTGCCTGAAGGCTCACCGATTTTTTAGTTCAAGTGACTTACAAGTGTATTGATCCAAATCACTGGTGTTTGCAGAAAACTGTTGTGGACCCCCTAATGCGCGAGACCGATTCAACTGCCTGGAAAATGCTGCATGAGATCGAACTGGAAAACAACAACAGGTGGCAAAGTGTCCTTTGACCAGTTATGAAATCGTTCTTGTAAAGAGGTTTCATTGCAGGCGCCTTCTTCTTCGCTCTCTCATGCATGAGCACCAAGAAGGAAATATCAAATCTACAATTGTTGAATGTCTCAATCGTAAACTTGAGACATGCCCGACAGAGGTGGATGTGATCTGGATGCTTCTGGCAGATCTCAGCGGTATTTTCAAAGTCAGTCGAAATCTTAGTTTTCTTAGAGACCGTTGTTATTTTTCACAAGGCTTGTCATTTTCATGAAGCTATATAGGTGAAATCGAGGAAAGCTTTGGAAGCGTGGTACACTATTGCAGACGGAGATACGAACAACAGGGTACGCTCTTGCTGCTTCACTAATATTTAATCAGGTTTTCATGATGGCTGTGACTAGGTGCGCTACGTAACAAGAGTGTTGTCAAGATCCTGTGGTGATTTGAATGCTGCTGAGAAGGCCGATCTTTGTGCTGACATTGAAACGAAAATTACTGATTTCAGGTAGTTCTCTTTCTTTTTTTTTGATCTAGTAATGATTTTGCCTCTTTGGAAAATGGTGACTTTCAGAATCGATGCCATGAATATTTCGTCTGCGTTCCTTTGTTTAGCTAAACTCATGGATGCTGTTGGCGAGGAATGCACAGGTAAGCAGAAATACTCACTAGCGTTGTTTGTATTAGGTTGGCGGGAAAGTTCCGTCCTTTTTTCGAACTGAAAATATTTGCCCATTACCTGAAGAGGGTTGAACGGTAATGTGAGCACTTATACATCAAAAAGTGGTCTTTCTATTAGTACCACTCGCTTGATTCCTGCTTCTTCTTCTTTTGCGATATGGACAAGAATGTTATCCGATCCCTCGCCACTGACCCCTCCAAGTGCTTCTGATAGTGCATCACACTTCCAAAAAAGTTCTAGCCGTTCCTTATGTATAGAGCTGGATGGCTCTCCCCTTGCAGTGGTGTAGCACGAACACTGCTCCTTCTATCTGTGAGGTTCCCGTAATAAATCATTACTGGACGAGAAATTACGAGAAAACCTCGAAAAGTCTGAGTTCAAGCCAAGATTGAGATGGTGACCAACTTTGTATCGCGCCTCCCTGCATTGTGAAGCCATGGCATCCATGAGGGCTCAAAAACAGGCATGGACCCCCACAGTAGCATTGCTGTACAATTTTGATCTTACACCCCTTTCTATAAAAAGAAAGCATAATTTGGAAAAAATGACAGAACTTTCCCGCCAACCTAATAGTAATCCATTGCAGTGTTTGTAGGAAACAATTACTTTTCGGCCCTAGATATCTTACTATTTCATGGTGTCACCCTGATCATCTGCGCTGTCGCTGACCATTGATTTGCCCGAGTAAGCGCCTGTGACATTTCCATTCGTCCCTATTATACAATGTGGTAAAGTTGCCCAGTGGGCTCTGTGTGCTCAAGGGACACGCAGAACTTTATACCATTCGCTCCGAGGTTCCACGAAGAAGTCTGATCATCGCGTAGACGGTTGTCCAGGAATTCATTTGTAATTCCGTGAAATCCAGTCGGTAATCTACCTGGTCCAGCGGTCATCTTTGCGATGAATAATGTGCCCGGCCCACACAATCTACGGAACCTTGGTTAATGCGGCCACGCATGATGCTTCGTCGACGAAAGCTCCGGATTCCTCCTCTCCCTGCGTGTTACTTAAAAATTCGAACGTCGCTCTTCTGATGGCGCGGAATGACGCTAACCCCACGCTGGTACTGATTTCCTAGTGTCTAAGTCTCCGAGACGTAAGTTAGAGCTGGACCTTGGGTTGGAAGAGATGATCACGGAGCGGGGGCTCTTCGCTACTCTCTCGATGCTCTAAAAAGTCTCCAAGCCGCTCGCCTCCTTCTGCTCAGTTTTGTGGTTAGGTCCTTCATTATCCCGGTTTCGCTTCCTAGATTTGGCGTTAGCTTGAGCATTTTCGAGGTGCTCGTTCAGTGGTTTTCTGAGAAAAATATTGATATGGTATTATTTGAGTTGAGTAACGAGAACTGCCTGATCGAACTGTATCAAGTTTTATTATCTTTTCGTGCAAAGACTCCTGCATGTGTTTGTCTAATTGTGTCGCTTACAGGCAGGAAGAACTTTGAAAGGCTAGGGAAGCGACTCCTCAGACAGAGCCGTATTCACATACGCGAATCTCTACAGAAAATCGACGAAGAATATGATTATCCCGATAGGTAGTTCGAATTTTGTACATGTAGTTGTTGTTGTTTACCATTTACTAGATGGTATGGCTTTACAGGTTGGAAGCTCGTGAAACGTTGCTCATACGTGTCATCACAACCATTGGAGAGGTTGTTCAGTTCTCGCCGATACTCATGAATACAAGTGTCCGGCTATTGGATGCGCTCAAAACTATTATATCCTCGGACATCTTCAATGAGCCTGATGAAAAACCAGGTAGGGTCATGTTTTACCGAGTTGTCGGGAAAGTTAACTGTTTTTTGTGGCGCATTGGCGAAGTTGGGGAACGGACATTATGGACTTTTGCTTTCCATGGACATGTGAAATTTTGTAAAATCCGAATTAATACCAGCCAAGGTTTGTAGAGACCACCTTGTAAAGCAGTTAAGTGCCTTACAATTACCATTTACCATGGTGGTTCAGCGAGCTTGCTCCAGCTTCCGAAGAGTTAACGGGGCTCACTAAAATGAGATTTGTGAAGTGGAACAAGTGAAGCAGCAAAATTGAAAAATGCCCCCCCCCCCTACGTCACCGAACTAGGCCTTTTCTGATGGGGAGGAGCGGTGTTAATGTTCTGCGGGTGGTCCTGGCAGTTCACTTGTAGACTTGCAATCATTCAAATTCTCGATTGGAATTGTTAGCTGAACTTGCTACCAGATTCTATCCACAGACCTCTTTTGGTTCGATGTTCGTGTGCAGGTGGTATCCTATGAGTTCCTCGAACAGGGAAAATCGTTTATTCGTAACAATAACCCCTGTTACATCATCACATTTTCAGTGGTGAATGCAGCCATACCATCCTTTCAACCAACTCCTATTCCATCTCGAGAGCAGTCACCATCGCCGCCTTGCTCTCGTGCGCCGTCTCCGGCTCCATCTACAGCCTCATCAAACGCGGTACGACTTGATTGAAACTGATCGATTGGTCTCCGTCACATATTTTGAGATTTGCCTTACAGTTAATAGATTCTGTTTTCAGGACGATCACCTAGTATCATCTCAGGGTGGCCCTGTGATACCACCAGACATTGTGACAGCCGCGGCTGCCAATCGTAAGGCTCTGCTTACTCCTAGAGTTAGGGCACATGCAGTTCTAACGATCGGAAAATTCTGTCTTATGGTACTGGATGCTCAGATTAGTTTATTTACAAATGACTGATATTGGTATGGGACCTTGTTTCAGGATGAAAGGGTGGCCAAATCTACCATTCCCGTTTTCGTGAAGCAACTGAAACTAAACTCGGACCATGTGATTAGAAACAACATTGCCCTTGTTATTTGTGATTTGTGTATCCGGTACGTCTTGGTTTTCAAGTAATTGCAGTAGAATTAGGAGTTTTTGATTCAACTGGAGCTACAGATGGAGAGCTATTTCTTAAAAACATAAGGTATGGTAATCTGGTACTCGGCCACAACTGCTAGCAGGGCGCTATATAGCGGGAAAATGGCTAAAAAGCTATGTGAAACGATGAAAAACCTGCAAAAAAGCCTGTGTTCTACATGACTCAGGGAAGTTCCGGACCAGTTAATCGTTGGCGTTAATAACCGCTACTTGTGTACTCATATATCCATACATCCTCGCAGCCGCTCCATATCGACCCCCTGCATTTCATCTTGTACTTCGCAAATGAAGCGGTACCCAGAGCAGCATTGGTCGTCCATTTATGGGCGGGCAGGCGCGGTGGGTGTCTGGGTAGATATGTTGCAGCTTGATAGAGCCCCAAAGGGAACTTTTCCTGGAGAAGGCGCCACGCAGTGCCTGCTCAGGAGCGCCGAACTCTGTCCTGTTAGACATATTGGTCCTATACGCGTTGGGGGATTTATGGTGCCACTTACCATTAAGTGGTTCTCTTTTTTCAGGTATACATCGATGGTAGACCGCTACTCTCCCATCGTTGCTGCTTGCCTCAAAGACACATCAACCCTGGTCCGCCAACAAATATTGGACTCCCTTACGTCACTAATCAAAGAGCAGTTCATAAGATGGGAAGGACAGGTAAGCGTTATATTTGGTATCACACTCTGAAATATTTTTTACTTTGATTTGATTTTTTATTTTTTATTATTATATTTTTGTATTATATGGTATGTTGCAGCTTGATGGAGCCCCATAAGGGGATGGAGCCCATTATTATTATTTTATTATAATTTTTTTTTTTACTTTCAGATCATGTATCGTTTTGTGTCCGCAATACTCGACGAGAACAAGTCTATCAGGGAATATGCAATGTTTTGTTTGGTTAGTTCATTTGGAAACTACGAAAATAGTCACCAAGCAAATAATAATTGATTGAATTTTAGCGAGATGTGTTGCTGCTTCAATTCCCAGAGTTGTTCTCGGGTCATTTCATCGAGTGCCTTATGTATTTCAACAATGTGCCAGTGAGCTGCGAACGGGATGGTAAGGTTATCGTTGACGAGACTGGAGAATGATTTTACTAGCAAAAACTGGTGTTTCAGCTGTGCACGAAGTAGTTGATACAAATCAACGTCTTTCACTCGACGGTCCTGAAAACGAAGAAAGTAGAATGACTATCTATAAATTCATGGTATGCGTTATAGCATGAGTATAACCTTGACTAAAGATGAAATTTACACGCAAATAGGTATAAAAAGAAATGGCCATTGTCAGAAAAGGAAAAAAAAGCCGATACTTGTGACCAAAATGGAGCTTCCCTCAAATTTGGCAGCTTGTGATTTGAAAGTGATTAAGCTTGAGCCGATGTTTTATAAAAAATAGTTCCCTCCGTAACCACACAAAAAAAATCGGGCAAAGTATCAAGATTTTGCAAAAAGATGCAGCAGTGGGCGTGGTTCAAGGGGCGGGGTTTGGTGTGTCGATGCATAAGAGCGCGTGTGCGTATGTATGCGTCCGCTCTGCCATGTGAATGTAAAACTAACCATGCAGAGAAAAGCTGTGAAAGTTCCAAGATTGCAACAAATTCTTTGAAAAATGGTAGTAGTCGTTGTACAATACTTTTCTGTGGATGTGTATTCGAAATACCAAAAGTTAAACAAGTCATAGAAGCAAATATTAGAAAATGAAGTTTGAGAATTTGTGACCGCGCTGACAAGTGGGAGTGGCCGTGGGGGCGGGCTTGCCGTGGTGTCGATTCGGTTGGTAAATTGCCCGATCTAAAAAGTGTTTTGAGTTTGAATTTAAATAATGGTGCTTTTTGTTTGTAGTGGTGAATTTAGCTTGAAAAGGGTGAACTTGAAGTCAGACTGGTATGTACTTCCCGTATAGGACGCACTAATAGAACTTATTGTGTAAGGAACAACCAGGTGATTAAATAATCCTGTTATTCAGTTTGGACATAGGCTACTACCCCTGTATCTTCAGAATCCGTCTGATTTTGGGCGTTTATTTCTGTGGTAATTTTCTTTCAAATTTAGCTGAGCACATTCGACGATACCCGTAAATTCACTCTAATGGCCCATATATGCACACAAATTATCTGTCCGGTGATGAATGGGAAGCTGAAATACGAAGATCCGTGCGTGTTTGCTCTAGTTAGGGACGCATTGACGGTACGTTACGTAGTAAACAAGTAAAGTAACACATGTTTACACGAATATTCCAATTTCAGGTCATGTCTCTGAAGGAAATAAAACTGAACATGGATGTAGGAAAAGGTCCAGATGTGGAAGAAGAGCCTCCGGCGCTTGTTGTGGTGAGTTTAGTTACGTAGTCAAGCTCAAGTACAGAAACCACATTCGTTCTATTTTCAGGCTGTTGCCAAAGAAATGATTGCCCAAACTTTCCGGAAGGCAATGATTGAATATGTTATGCCTGCGTTGCTCGATCTACGTGTGTATCTTACTGAAAAGAGGTCCAGCTTACGTGGACCGCTTTACGCCGTTTTTCGGTTAGTTACTTGTAGCCCTATGGCTGTTGATGTTTTCGTTGGAGTCCTTGAAAGCGCGGCGGTATTTGATGGCAAAATGTCGTTTATGTCGCTCATCACAAGGAGAGGGACATTTTGGCGAGGAAATCAGCAGGAGCACAACCAAGACCCTCCCCCAAGTAGGATCGCAGTGTACGTTCGACATCGTACGAGTTGCTTGTCGCTCGGACGAGTTCTCCCTCTGCTGATTTTGTGCACCAAATGCATTCTGGCTGTTTATCTTCTGTGAATAGACTTGGTGCTTCATACGTTTTTTTTGTTGTTTTTTGCCCTGCCGCTAGTGCCCTGATCCTAGGTAGAATTACTTATCGCAGTATTAAAGACACTTACCGCGATAAAGTGGTCCTCAAAATGAATTCGTCTTTTTTGGAACCCTCTACGCCTTGACGAAGATGATAGCACTTTCATCCCTCAATATGGCGCGATGAGGAAGTTATAGCGTTTTCCACAAGGCTCGCTAGGCTCGCTGAGACGGTAGCTGGACGAGGCGTCCGGTCCCGAGCTGCTTCCGTCCCTTTAACGCCCGCGCGGCGTCTCGAGCGCGGCCTTCTGGCACTTAGCCAAAAGTTGGTTTATACCTGTTTATAGCTGGCTGGAAGCGCAAATTCTTAGAAAAGCATACATAGGATAAGAGAGAGGCAAAGAACTAAAGAAGGCAGTGAAGGAGGATTGAAGGAAAAGCACGGGGAGATGAGTATCACGTACGAAAGTCTGTTTCTCCCGCTTGTTGCTTAGAGCATCCGCATCGCGCGTAGCAGGAGAGAATATAACAGAACAGCATGAATACTGAGAAGAGCTCCTCTGTTCTCACCAGCTCCACTCTGACATCAGTGGAACACGTCTTATCGAGACATCGATGCCCGGAGTTTCTCGACACAAGCAAGTGATGGATGAAACGTGAGCTCTCCTCTCCGACAACCGTCGATTCAGGGGCGTAGCTGTTTCCGCAGTTTCCTATTTCCTATTCGAATAATTATTCTATTTCGAAATTCGGGACGCAATTGCGGCCGCCGCACTGATCCCGGCAGCCACAGCCGGCGCACTCGTCCAGGCCCCGCCCCACTGCTAATGGGAGGTCCGTGTTCCGGGTGTTCGCGAGGTTTTTTTCCACTGGGGGGGGGGTTACAAATGGGCCACTGCTTCGTTACTGGGCACCAATTACCCGAACACTTTATCGCGGTAAGTTCTTTAAGGTGTCTCCCGAGACATACACTGTAGGTCGTTGCCATCAGTGAACATTCTTACAAGGGAGGACTTTCAGGTCGTGGCGCGCTTTTTGGAAGTGGTTTGTTGCTTGTTGTAGGGGTCCATACAAGGATCATCAAAGTAGGTTTCATTTTTGCTATGCGTTTCTGAGGAGGTCAAAAAGTTGAAAAGAATTTGACAAGAATGGGCGATCTTAACTATCTTGATGCGCTCCGTTCTGATTGTAACTTCGAGCATGCATAGTTTGTGAGGTGCTCGTTTATTAGGCTTCGAAAATGGTTTCGAATAAAGTATCATATCATCGTCTCATCCAGAATCCATCGACTTATCAGCTGCGCCGTCCGATCCGCCAACGGTGAGCATGAGGGGAGCGCTGACAAAAACGTCACTGTTGCGTCGGTGCATGCAGAGTGTGTTCTACATGATACCTACATTTGGACTTTATTCAAATATTTTCGAAGCCTGATTAAAGAGCACCTCACAAACTATGCACGCTCGAAGTTACAATCAGAAGGGAGCCCATTAAGATAGTTAAAATTGCCCATTCTTGTCAAATTCTATTCACTCACTTTTTGACCTCCTGAGGAACGCATAGCAAAAATGAAACCCATTCTTATGATCCTTGTATGGACCCCTACAACTAACAATGAACCATTTTCAAAAAGCGCGTCACAAGACCTCCTTTCAGTGGTAGAAAATCTTCCAATGTTTTCCTCTCACGCTTCGAATTGCCGCATCAGTTTCCATGTACGGCGATCTCATTTCCTGGAAGCTCAGGCGAAAGAAGCAGGCAAAAGAATCACTGCGCGAGTTTTTGTGTAATTGAATAAACCTTATTTTTACTGCCATTTGTCGCCCTTATTTTTAGTGCCATTTGTCGCGAGCATAGAGAGCAAATTGACGCATTCTTGGATGGTGATCAGCAGCTTAAATCTGAAGTCGAGTATGATATATACCGATATGAGGTAAGTTCTCATGAAATATTGTTGATAAAACAGTTAAAAAATGCAGCAGAATTTAGTTGAGAGAGAAGCGGGAACGAGCTGCGGCCAAGAGACGTGCAGAACAAGCAGCGGAAGAAAGGCGACGTTCACGGCGCTCTATGGCGATAGTGAACAGAGAGGATGATGATGAGGAATCGACCCAGCGTCAACACACGGAGTCTGACCGCCCAAGTAGTGATGTTGTAACAGCAGCATCTGAAGAGGCTGGATCTTCCGGAAGTGGAGGGGTGGAGGAAAGACCTGATGAAGGAAGTCCTTGTGGGCACTCTCAAGCTTCAAGTGAAGAAATGATTGCGCATCCCGGAGGAGGAGATGTTCCAGCTATCGTACGTACAACTTCAACTTTTTAATTGGCGTCCATTTCTATTGTGATTGTCATCTGCAGTTTTTAGAAGGAAGAGCCATTAGATCAAGAAGACGCTGCGATGGAGGAAATCGTTCCACCTGAGCAACGTGCGTTACCTGTTGTAGAGGTTAAGGCGGAGGTTGGATTGTTGATCCTAATTGCATTGTTCGAATAGTGTTTTTTCAAATCAAAGTCGCAAATTTAGATTGCTTTGGAAAGAGACTCATATGAACATTTCGCCGTCTCTTTGGCATGTGGTGATGGACCATGTAAGTGAAGTTTTCGTTGTTGTGGCACGTTTTCCTCTTAGTCACGATCTATCTTTTGAGGTGTGGAAGAACTCGTTCACCGAGTCATCCGAGGCACCGCTCAGTCAAGTGATCCCGTGCCACCGGATACGGCTCTTCCCACCACTTCCAGCCAATCTACCAGGAGTGCAATCACTTCGCATCCTGATGCACCGCGGTCTTCTAATATGGATGTTGAGACAGCATCCGATTTTCAAATGGAAGTAGGAACAGACGAATCTGGGGTGGAGCCTTTGCAAACAGAAAAGGAAAATCTGCAGTTGAAAGAAGGCGAGTTCCCTTTCTCCATCACTTGTCTCAAGCGGAAAAATTATTTCTTATGGGTATTTCTATAACTAAGAGCGCGTTCAGACTTCGCGATCGTGCAATTGAATCGCGCGATCGGGTCGCTCGACTAGGATCGCGCGATCCAAGAGCGCTATTAAGATGGGTGGAATTCAGCGGGGGAGGGGGGGGGGGCGTTCACGTTTCACGGATACCGCCGAAGTCGTCGTCCGAAGGGTTTCACAGTTTGAAATAGTCTTTTTCAGGGTTCGCATCACATGTTAGTATAGCTGTTTTACTGAATAAGCGCTATACTATTACAATGACCAAACAATATTTATTGAAATATTCTAGAGATTTGTTCCAAACATTAATGGTATAGTATGAAGTTCGTTGACGCATGTAATATGATATTTTTCTTTTTAAGGGGAAATGAGTCATGGGGAAAACCGGGCGAGTTTCGTTAAATCATCAGTTATGCATAGTGTTGCTGTTATCGATCGCCCCTCTAGGAATTGTCTTGTAAAAAAACGACGACTTCGGCGATATCCGTGAAACATGAACGCCCTCCCCCGCTGAATCTAACCCATCCCAGTAGCGCGATCGAATCGCGCGATCCTAGTCGAGCGATCCGATCGCGCGACCCAATTGCACAATCACGAAGTCTGAACGCTCAGTGCTTGATTGTCGTTGAGTTCTTATTGGTTCGTCATCGGGATGTTTACTGCCGTCAAATAGGGCGCTGGCAGGGGTGACGAGCCGCCACGCCGCGAGGGAGCTTTTCTGAGGCTCTTGTGCTTTATACTAGAACATCCCATTCAAAGATGTGCAGACATATAGAGGAATGGCGAGAAAGTAGCGCGGATAGGGCAGCGGGCTTTTATACCGTTTGCAATCTAGAACCTTTGGCTGTATTCCTGAAATGCCACAAAAAAAGTTCTCGAGAAATTGAAAAGAAGCCTGAGTCGTCAAAAACAGCGCCGAAATTGCGAATCAGGCGTCATAAGAGGAAAGTTCGCTGTTCAAATTTAACCCGTGCGGGACCACTAGTCGCGTGTAACGGTGTTCTCAAAATGCAAGGTGCGCGATTTGGATTGTGAGCCGAAGAAGGAAGAAAGGAAAAAAAATTGTTGTCGTGGATGGCCCCATAATGTTCATCCTGCACTAGAAAAAAGGGTGGATGAAGTCAATCGCTGAATGTCTGATCACAGACTGGACCTGTCGAGTTCCCCGCGAGACTGACATCCCTGCTGCAACTGCTCCCCAAGTTATGTCCAATAAATTGCAGATGGTCAGGAGGGTCACGCATGAATACCTAATTTTCTTAGAAGAACGAACGCAGATCCCCTTGTATGCCTGTAGAGTAATGTTCTCCGCATAAGATGTCATTCACGGCCATAAAAACGCACCCGGGCTTTAGATGAAATATGGGTGGTCTTGAGCTCCGAGCCTGAAATATGGGTGGTCTTGAGCTCCGAGCCTTAACCCCCAGGCGTCAGTTGTGTATGAGTGCAGATGGGAAGCCGTCCGAACACTGCCATGAGGAGTCACGTGTGTCCAAGATGATGATCATCATAGTGAAGAATTTCTGCACTGTGACTTTCAAGCGGCTCCTTACGTAAAACAAAACCGTAACTGTCGCTGTATATTGCCTTTTCTTCGACGATCAGATCGACAAACAGATGGTGCCACGCGAATACCAGAAGGCCACCATTGCTGGTCATAGTGCCAGACCAAGAGTAACTGTATTATAGGGCAGTGCTGGGAGACAAACAATACTGAGACCTGGGTTTAATCGCCTCGTTCGCCCAACATAAAGCCGTTCGATTTTAACAGTTCTTTTCATTCGAAGGTGCCCTCTGACGGCAAACGCTGCAATGTTTCGACATTCGCCGAAATTGGCAGTAACAGCAAATTACCCGCACTTGCTGAAAAAACGAAGGTACCAGTGGTCCAAACGCTTTCGGGGCACTGGAAGCGGGTCATTGATGAAGGAGGGATCTACTTGACTCAAAGCCAAAATATCACCTTCTCCTCTGTTCCCTTCTTCGCTCTATATGAATAAAACCTTCCACGTTTTTGAATGGGATGACCTAATATTTCCAGCACAATCTACTGTTGACCTAGCAACGTCGCACGACTTGTTTTTGATTTAATTGAGTGAAATACGTCTACGTCTGTCCGTTGTCGTCAAGTTTCGTTAATCCTGACGTACAGTTTCAATTTGCCCATCGCCGCGTGGCGCTCACACTGAGAATAGTCCGCGTTCATCGCCAGACAGTGCGTCGAGCGCGGCGGCGCGGCAAATCACCATTCGTGTCCATCTCCCTATAAGCCGTGATTTATTTGGTACTTAATTTCATGTCCTTGATTATCTTTGATGAATTAACGCTGGGTAAAATGGCGAGTAAGAAATATTTGAAGGTTAATCAGAAGCCTAGAGCATCCAAGAAGCGAAATGCTACGAATTGGAGTGACCAGACAACGACGCGCGATAATGCGCGCAGCGCTTGGCGTCCGTTGCTGCGTATCTGCGAGCTATAGATGCTCTTATACTCTAAATCTAGCATAATACGTGGACCAGTCGAAGTCCAGTTGGAACTTGCGTTCTATTTTACATGTTTGCAATTGTTTTAGCGCGCCTTCCGAATGCAATGAATAATGAATAAATAACGATAGTTCGCAATACTGATAAATGAACAGTTTTTCCAGCCGTTCTGTGGAGCATATTAGGGATTTTAATGCTGAATTTATATTTAGACAGAGCGTATCGCGGTAGTGTTCGGAGTGTTTCTACTCCTGGGCCGGCACGGATTTCGAAAAGGGTATGATCTTTCAGTCATATCGTAAGGCTGTTATAATGAAACGATTCATAAATGTACAAGAATTTTCAGGCGACGAGTAGTGTCTCGGACGAAAGCGTGGTAACATCACGTGCAATGTCAACGCCTAATAAACCTATTACTGATGTGAGTTCTGGCTAGACCTTATTTGCTAATTCTAAAAAATGTATCAAAAAAAGATCCGATGAAAAGTAATCTGCATTCTGTTTAATAAATCTCTCTGAGCTTCATTTTCACAACTGGTTATTCTTGAATATGAAGAATTACGCCTTTCACATAAAGCCAAATAATCAACATTGATGGTTAATTAGTGTTTCCATTCTACCTTTGCTACACTGATCATGATTCATTTGTAGCTCACTTTTGCTGATCTAAATTTATCTGCAATTCAAGGCGATGCAATCGGCAATTTGCGCAAATCAGGTGATCACCACAATTACCATTATTGTGACCTCGATACCTGTTTTTCTTTTTTCATTGTATATTTCATCTTGAATTCGGAAATTTTCAGGCCGATCACGGATAGGATCGCGTAAAGAAATGGGGAACATTGAAGAAGAAGAATAAAGAACGCTTGACTTTCTTTTTGAATACTGAACATCTCATCTATTGCACCGTGTCATTTTGAAGGATTTCTTTTGCGTTTTGCAACTCCTTACAATCGATGTTGTATTTTTTCCATTCTGTTGTATAAAGTAAAATTAAAGATCTGAGAAAGATATCAGTTCTGTTTCTCGTGGTGTCTGTCCACTGTGAATTACTTGATATTTGTTAGGCATAATGCGTTTATGCGGTTTATCGTAACACATTAATCACCAACAACCTTATTTGCAGGGTTATCGTTGTTAAAGAGTTGAAATGATTGAATCTGTGGGTTTTAGTCTATGCTTTTACTCTTTCTTCTTATGATATTTATGAGTGGATGCTTTCAGAGCCCAATTGCTGATGCGAAATCGCTAAACTTTGATGCAGGCGATGCTCATTTCGAAGATGTCCGTCTAAGTGTTTGGCGGTCATTTTTGTCGCTCTTTTTCCTATTTCTTCATTACAGTTACAGTCCAATGAAGGGGGCAACGAAGACCAACTTACCGTACAAAAGGCCGTGAAGAGTGACCGTTTTCGTAAGGTGCGCGTCTTTATTAAAGGCAAACTATTTTCTTTTTTGTACTATCTATTATGTCTTACAAGTTTTCAGTAGAAGTGAGCGGATAAGTGTTTTTTTTTTCCACAAGTGGCAATGTTCCTAACGTGAGATAGATAGATATTTCATAAAGCCTTCGATAAAATATAAGTAAAATGTAACACATTAATTACAAACCTATTACTGATCGAAACTTTTCTCTGTTGGTAGTCTCTGAATGAAAACAATTTGATGAAATCAACGTCGATATTTTCCATGATAGACGTCTGTGTTTCGCTGGTGGTGAGGCACGTACGTTTGACTGTAACATTTTTTATATGTGGTGCTGATATAAACTTTATCTGCCGCGAGACGGTGTATAGTACTTGTAAGGTCACTAGGCTGCCAAAGTAATTGTGGTGAGAGGAAATTTGCTGCCAGCTTTACCTCTGATCGTTCTTGTGTAATTAGGATGGCGCAAAGTTCGAAAAGAAGGGGGAACCTCAGCCTATAAAGTTACACGAGGTACGTTTTTGCAAATAATTTCCTTGGTTGTTCCTTTTATTATTCTTCGTACTGTTTGACGCTTGTCCCTCTCGGTGGAAGGGTCCGCTCTCCTGATATGATGGCGGCACTTATCTCGAAATGCCTGTCGAGATGGATGCCAACTATGCCCAGGTCTGCATGCAAGGTGTCGAGCCACCGTCGCCTGGGAGGTACCTTAGGAAGTTTTCCGGCATTATCTTATCACAGAGAACTCCAGTCAGCGTCGTGTAACCTATGCCGCGAGTTCACCACGAAGGTCAGAACGCCATGGGGCAAAATTCTGATCCAAGGTACCTGAAGATTATTGTGAGTGTGAGCTTGATGCCACTGAGCTTAATGGATTCGGACTCATTTGCGTCGGTCATCAAGTAAATACTTGTTCTTCCTGTTGTTTGATTTGAGTCCGCACTGTGCCAGGCGGTCAGTCCAAGCTTGTTCCTATTGCTCAAGCTCGCTCTTATATTTCCTGCCGAGCACCACATCATCTGCCTAGAGAGGCGTTCAAGGACACGGTTTTTCAAATCTTGAGAGATGGCACCATAATGACCACGAACAGAAGTGAGGAGAATTCAGAGCCTTGATAATCCCAACTGTGACGGGGAATCCATCGACATCCCTGCTGAGTGCGCGACGACTTGTTGGGCTAGAATGCTGAATGTGCACCCATTTAATCAGCTCACAAACATGGACGTCAACACTTCGTTCGGAGATTTTCATGGTGCGCGAGAGGAGGCGAACTAGACGTACTGGAGCAGTTTGAGCCATCTGCCGCTCTGCCTTTCTTCCGAATCGCAATCGTCGTGCTCTGCAACCAGTCTTTGAGCACCTTCTTCTCTTTGACGATTTGCTTGAAAGAATTCGTCAAGCATTATGTGGATCATCAGTGCTGACTTCCACTAGTCAGCTGCTAAGTCGTCAGGACTTGTTGCTATACCTTCCTTCATCTTCCTCAAAGCCGCTACTGTTTATTGAGCGACATCCGTCGACGTTTTTTTTTCGTGAACGGGACCATATGTTGGTGTCGTACATGGGACAGCTTGATGAGTTTTTTTTTAAAGACACATGGTACCTCAAACACATTGAGGGTGTATGAGACTATCAGCCCCTCACCCAAAACTGCACCGGGTCAGAGTACGGGGCCGTGGGAAAGTCATAATTCCTTGCTACACCGCCCGTTTCGCAACTCACGGTTTTACTAACACCGTCCGCGCGGCGCGTGTCGCGTGCAGCTCTCTTGGCTTTTTGCGAAGTCCTGTAATTGCGCTTTGGAATACAAGTAAAACGCAATTTCTTTATGCGGATAACATTTTAGATGCTGCAAAATAAGAAGCGAGGATGATGACGAGGGCCAGAACTCAAGAGCAACTGTGGTGGTTCTGCAATATCCCTCAGAGGCAACGCATTCCCACAAAACATCAAAATAAAAACGGCCTAAGCGTCCCACTCGTTAGTTCGAAGTATTTCTATAGCATCAGAGCCGGATTCGAGCGGGATAGCAGAAATGCACACGCGATTTTTATTGATATTTACGTCTACATTCGTTGTTCTTTATTTCTAGCCCTTGTCATCTTCATCATCTTCTATTCGGAATTTGAAGCATGAGCAATACCTCAAATGTTAGGAAATTGCGTTTTGCTTATATTGTCATGTTTTATTGTCATGTTGTCCGTTTTTATGGTCATGTTCTGTGGGAATGCGCGGCCTCTGAGGGATATTGCAGAAGCACCACAGTTGCTCTTGGGTTCTAACCCTCGTCATCATCTTCGGTTCTTATTTTGCAGCACCTAAAATACTATCCGCATAAAAAAATTGCGTTGTACTTGTATTCCAAAGCGCAATTGCAGAACTTGGCAAAAAGCCAAGAGAGTTGCACGCGACACGCGCCGCGCGGACGGTGTTAGTAAAAACGTGAGTTTACGAAACGGGCGGTGTAGCAAGGAATTACTACTTTCCCACGGCCCCGTACTCTGACCCCGTGCAGTTTTGTGCGGGGGACCACGACACATCGACAGGTGGGGCTGATAGTCTCATACACCCTCAATGTGTTTGAGCGTACCATGTGTCTTCAAAAAGTACTAAACGTATTCACGCCATACTCACTCTTTGATTCACCTGAAGATGGCCATTCTCGTCGTTTATGTCGGAACATCCTCTTTGTCTTCAGTGTGGCAGTGACGACTTTCAGGTACAGGTTTAGGTGCTGGTAACCTTCGCGCTCCTGAGGTTTCTTGCTGCCTCAAGACGAGTTGCGGTAAATCCGCCAGATGTCAGCTGACTTTTGCTCAAAACCAGCCTCTGTACCTGTGAACTTAGCTTTGACTTGTCCCTTCACAGCCAGGCCTTTCTGTTAATACTCCGCGGTCCAAGTTTCGTTGTGCCGAGATTGGAGGGATGAGCTGGGCTATCGATTCCATGGCTCCTTTACAGCTTTCGTCGAGAGTTGTTACCTTAGATATTTGAATGCGAGACCTCACAGCTGTCTCCCGAGTTGAAAGTGGAAATCACAGTTGATTCCCGCTCGTTCATTGGCTACCCACTGATTTTATCGTAACCGCATCAGTTCGTCTGCTTCAGTACGAGAGCTGGGGATCTAAGCCTGCAGATCAGCTTGCGATGCTGCGTGGCAGCTGCTTTATACGGCATACATTGGCTTCGTGAGGAATCCTCGATCACCATGAATGATGGAGAAGGTTCCCTCCACTACTGCTGTAAAACCTGATGAGATGTTTATTCTTCATTGTGGACATTCGTGATCCTTAACGGAATCCACCAAGCACAGCCATCTTTTGCAGCGCCCATGTGCCCACTAAAGGGCCAGCAAGAACCAGCTTTCTTCTCATGACACAGCTGTTTTCTGATCCAGCAAGTCCAGAACTCGGTCTTTTATTGCTTGGAACATCCAGTTTGCAGGGTGTATCTAGTGATGAAGAAGAGATTCCTACTTAGCTCGAAAGCGCCACGAATTACGCCACTAATCAAGTCGCACAACCGCTAAGACATGATTGCAGACACGCCACTAGTAGTTGTCGGCTTGAAACAAGAACGGCTTCGAAGGTGCGGCCAATTTCTTTCGATCTGCCACCGTTCTATAGGTGTCTCATACTGTAATGGCGTTGATAACGCCCCTGCCAGCCCATGTAATTGTCTAGTCAATGTATCAGCGTTCGACGCTGCTTCACGAGCCACGCTGCACGATTTTTGGAATAGCCTGTCGATAAAAGAACAAATAAAACAGCCCAAATAAATAAGCCTAATCGATCGTCGATACCGTGCTTACATCAGTAACCATCATATACTTTCCTCACTCGAAGGGCCATGCGTTTGCACGTCGGCTTCCGCGGATGTCATAGCACTATTTTGGAAATCATTGGGCGTCACAAAGCATGTGGGATGTCATAGGGTATTCGTTGGTCAGCCCTGTCCCGAGCATTAGAGTATCCGTGTCGAGCTCTGTTCACAGAAACGAGCGGTTCCAAACTGAAGAGCGAGCCTCACCGCCGAAAAGGTTTATTTTCCTCTAACCGTCACCTTTTTTTTCATCAAACCATCCGGGCCGTCTTGGGCAGCGATGAGGAGTTTTTTGATGGCAAATACTATCGGAGTGATGTGGGTTTCGTAGCCTTGTACTGCAACACAGTACAGTGCATTTTCGTGTTTCGAAATTGCTATTGCAGGTCGAACAGTTCGCCGAGCAATTTATAGATAGAAGGACTCATATTTCTAAACAAGTTTGTTTCGTATAGCACGCATTTTCTATTGGTTCATGTAGAGATGCTAACGAATAACGTTTCGAATCTTCTGGTCCTATCGGTCTTAAGGACTGAGAGATCGGAAGAGGCCATTCTGCATGTGGGAATGTACCTTTTCATTTACAGGCCTCTTTTTCTTGTTCTATCTTAGC